CCGATCGGTGGCGACTGGACGCGACCGATTCGCGATCGGCCGCGACCGATTTGGAGTGCCGATCGGTCGCTACCGATCGCGACCGAAAAAAATCAGTATCCAATGATCGGGGGGGGGGAGGGAGAGGGGAGGCACAAGGACGTGCCACGGCTACCCAGACTTAGGTCGGGCATGCCCCCCTACAGGCGGACTTTGGACGACAAATGAAGTAAAATACCCCCAAACAACCCCAAAAGATTCAAACATAGTCAAACAAATCGTCGCCTGACTATTTTTCGACTATTTTTGAATATTTCTCCTCTAGAGGGACAGGCCCGACTCAACGCTAGCATCACCCAGACCCCCTCGCGTTGCGAAGAAATCGCGACGGGATTGTTGTGCGTTACTTTCGGCCTCTGGGGGGACCTTCGCCAGCCCCGGGGCCGTCCAAAGACGAGTCCTGGGATGGAAAGCTGGCCCAAGGGACAGGGATCGGGACCTCCGAGGGGTCGACGTGGTGGAAAAGCACGGCGCAGAACCCAGAGATCCAACGCACTGAAAACACCAAGACGGGATTGCTTCGCAGATTTCGGCCTCCGAGGACCCTCGCCAATCCGGGGGTCGACGTGGTGAAAAAGCACGGCGCAGAACCCAGAGGTCCAACGCCCTGAAAACACCAAGACGGAATCGCTTCCCAAATTTCGGCCTCCGAGGGCCCTCGCCAATCCGGGGGTCGACGTTGTGAAAAAACACGGCCCCCGAGGAGAAGGAGGAGGAGGAGGAGGTGGAGGAGGAGGAGCAGCAGGAGAAGGAGGAGGAGGAGGAGGAGGGATTTCCCCCAGCCTGAGCCAGTCCCCCCCGAGGGCCCTCGCCAATCCCCGGGACCGTCAAACACGACGACTCGGGACGAGAGGCCGGTCTTGGGGAGGGGGCCGAGACTTCGGGGGCCCGCGCCAAGGAAAGAAGCACGACGTCGGACCTCTGGGAAGGGACACACCAGGCCACCCGTATGGGAAGGACGCAGCATGCGGGTGCAAGGGAGGAGGAGGAGGAGGAGGAGGAGGAGGAGGAGGACGACGACGAGGAGGACGACGAGGAGGAGGAGGAGGAGGAGGAGGACGACGAGGAGGAGGACGAGGAGGAGGAGGAAGATCGTACCAGGCCACCCGTATGGGAAGGGCGCAGCATGCGGGTGCAGGGGCCCGGGAAGGGCCGTGGCGACACTCTCGCGAGCGGGGCGCGCCCAGCGAATAGGCGGCCAAGGATGGGCGAAAAGGGGGAGGGATGCAGGGCTAGCCTTGGAAAGGTGCTCATCCTTACTGTGCGGGTTGGTTGTGCTAGTACTTTAGAAGTGGAAGC